AATCCTCAAAGGATTTCTATCCTACCGTACTAGCCCATGTCGTCGAGTCGACATCGGCGATTGTTGTGTTTGTACGTTTAAAGCTCAATTGCAACAGATTTAACGATCTACTTTACCACACAGACGTCCCGTAGCATGCTAGCTTCCAGCAGCGTAACATTCGTAAACTCACTGGAGCTGAGTCGAAGAACAAGCGCCAATCCAGGCCAAAATATGATACCGTAAGAAGTACCTTAGCGTACAATATTAAAGTTACTCAAAAGGGGGACCTATTTTCAAAATAGAGCCTTACACTTTGTCGGAAACATCTTTTGGATTAATGGGTTTGTCGGAATTCTCATGATGGTATGTACAAAATGTTTTCGCTGAATACTGATAGCGGCTAGTGTCATAGAACACGATTTCCTAGTCTCCTGTACACGACATCATTGTCATCTTTCTTTGTATGGTCTTCCAACCCTATCCTACTCGTTTTTTTGTGCTTGGTCAAGAAATCTGTGACATAGTCTAGCTTCATTAATTATAAAGGCCGAGGTCATTAGCTTTCCAGGTTGTATCAAGATCAACATGCCTATGGTTACCGAAATTATCTGCTCAGAAGATATAATGTAAAGGAATCATTAATCTAACCGGTCACATCATAAAGGAGTGTACACAGCTTGCTGCTGTTATCACTCTGTAAATTTTCGATAGTATAGGGTGATGCCTAGTACCTGATTTATCACACCATCCCTCACCAAAAACTGACCTTGCTACTCTCATCATTAGAACCGCTACTTGCGTCTTCGAACAATTCGTTCTTTTGCTAAAAAAACGATTATCTGGATAGCATTATTCGGCGACATCTTCGGCCACTATAGATGCAGCAGTTAAAGTTATAAAGTCGACGTTGTCGTCACAGTTCCGGCGCGATACTCGACAATACAAATTTTGTAACGCTCTCACTTTTACCAATCTCTGCACAATAATGTGGGGAGCCATTACAAGTAGAGAATTGTAGTTGTCAAATCATCTTGTCGCGTGAAATGAATTTACGTTTTAATGAGAAGACTGAATCGAAACTATGTTGGACAGAAACTGTGTGGTATTATCGCATTTTTTGTGGGGGGGTCTCATCGGTCACATTAAAGGTTGGCGGCATTAATATAGAGGTAACATTCGTTTACTTTTTAGAGAGGATCGGGGTCATTTGACCGGTCAATATATTCAGTTGAGAATCGAAGAAAACCGTATAAATACGTAGAAGCACAGTAAATTTAAAGTGGCTTAATACGCCTGTACAACGTCGTGTATTAAAGTGGTATGGTTGATACGTATTAGAAACAGAACATTCTATAGCACCGCTGGCGAAGTTAGAAAATGCATCACCACTTATATCGCAAGAAGGAATGTGTGCGGGTAACTCACATTCCTTCTTGCGATGTAAGATGTGATGCATTTTCCGTGCAAGTAACACGCATTCCTTCTTGCGATGTAAGTGGTGATGCATTAGTTTCAAATACAGTGTGCTCATACGTATTTATACGGTATTCTTCGATCCTTTGCTATTTGGACGTAAACAGGTTATTTTACCCAAAGATTTTGGTCTGCAGTAGCTTTCGGGGCACCTTGTGCTGGTCAAATACAGTTTTACTGAAAACAGGTCAAGAAAAGCAGTCTCGAGACGCACGGTATGATTAAATATTTAGTGGTGGTAGTGCTACAGCTGGTACGGGGTGTCTCTGTCACATAATATTTTACAAAATTTTGTATTGCGTAATATTTAACAAAGATAAATATCAAGTATGAATATTGTGTTAACACACGCATCTTATCCCCATAACATCGTCATAAAAGATGCAGAAGTATCACACTATTCACTAGTTAATATTGGGCAATGGTTCCCTTCATCATCATATCTGATCAGTATCCTTTCTAATCATAGGAAAGAGCGCTATCTGATAATCATAACGCGTTGTAAACTTGTTTGAGCAGTCCTGGCTCACAGTAATAAATATTTTGTGCTGTCTTTGCCACCATATAATGCCGAATTGTTATCGCCTAACAAGTTAGCTAGAATTTACTTCACTTGTGGTGCAGGAAAATTGAGCGCCAAATATCTTTTAGCGCGATATAATACGCAGTGGCGAGCCCTCGACTACATTCAATTCGCACATTCACAACTTCTTCGAGTTGTCATGTACTTTTTGAATGTTGTGCCAGATTTTTTGTTGTGCTTTCTACTGTGCGCACCGTCGCCATCATCGGGTTTCTGGATATCGCGTGTGTTGGAATCATTAGGATATTTATCTTGTTATCCGCACTTGAACCAGTATATACACAATCTTGTTCAAGCTTGCTGGATAAGATCAGGATATAGCACGACACTGTGCATCTTCGATTTGGGCGTATAGTAAAGGCTCGAACAACGCTACTGATCGACTGTCAGGCACTTGACATCTGAAGTCACACACTCATCAAAAATTCGTTGAGACCTGATACTACCCAGACGGCGGCAGCCGCTCCAGATGTCATTTTTACGCTTAGCTTGGCTTTTATCGTGTCCCGTAGGCAGTATCGTATTATCCGGTTTAATCACCACTGCTCATGAAGCCATTGAATAATCTCCTTTGGACCTCACTTCTCTTTTCATATTCAACGTTAATATGTACATGACCGTCAATGCCGGGCAGCACATGTAGTAAGAGCTAGAATGAGAGGTGTAAGAACGAAGGAAGCACAAACCGCGACGACCGGTACAAAAAAAACAAAGCACAGCAAAATCAAAGATTCTGGAAAGAACAAAGAGTTAGTTTAGATGGTCAAGTGGGTGGCATGGCGTTCGTTTACGTATTTGCTTCGTTCCTGTAGATACAGCTAGCTTCAAAAATGTCTTACCTTTCCAGTGATGATAGTTACGTCACATCTATTCGTATTCCGATCGTGAGTATCACGATCAAGATCTACAGTTAGTCTCAAAAATCGGAATCGACCTCTATCCAGTTATAGTTTCTTTGCGAATGCGACTAGGAGGTCCCGTAGCATGTACATTGCTGTTGTGCGAGGACTAAGTCATATCCAAGCTTTTTGGATAGCCGTTTCTAGCTGAAGCGAGGGGGACCTAACAGATTCTATGTCGTGTCGGCACCATCGGGCGATTGACTGATTGAGCTTGTGTATCGGCATCAAAGGTAGCGACGCTTGACTTAATAGTCTTCCTTGTGCGCTTTCGAACCGATTTTCGGTGTGATCTCAGATTCTGTAAATCCAAACTTTCAGGCGAACAGGAGCCATCATTTTCATTCGAATAGTTGCAGCTGTAGACCGAGTAGTATTTATGTCCTGCTTCACATGTTGTATAACAGCTTGATATGCTTTACGATTTGTACCCGCTTGCAACTTAGTGGTCTTCTCTTGGCATTCGAGATCTCAGGCTATCAATTTGGTGCCGTAGAGTTTTTTACCTTTTTTTTGCAGGACACATGAAACAAATCAGCCCAAGAAAAGTGTTAATCACAGGTACGGGACACTTTGGATGACGCATGTTTTGCGATGGTAATGTGAAGTGGTCGATTGCATCTCTTGACATACGATGTGTGTGAGAAGGACAGGAATGATCTTGTGAGCTCAATCACGTGTGAGTTTAAGGCAGACTCGGATGTCAGGGGAATATTATACAATTTGCCGGCATTGCGGATTGCCTCCAATGACAATGAACGAGCGTGTACAAAGGGGTCTCGATTACAGGTAACGTACCTATATAAAGATGGCGTGAGGCACAGCAATACCCAGTTCGCATGTAAGACTAAAAGATTTCTACGATAAGCAACTGCGGAGAAACCGCTTTCGTGTCTAATGACAGGGGCCGTTTTAACTCGGATGAGTATACCTGTCTGGAGAGGGCTATTCATTTGCATAAACGCCTTAAGCATCGTCCGTTGTCATACGGCCTTCTCCTCCTGTGAACTGCTTTTCGTCAACGCATTCTACGTCAAGAATGTTTAGGCTACGTATTCGAGACCTGTCATTATGCGTAGACGAAAAAGGAGCGGAGAAAGGATTTTGATGTGAGGTCGATATACAGAGGAACGAGATCGGGCCCATCTGCGTTGCTGTACCCCAGTTCGTAATCACCGATCAAAGTATAAGCGACCACGTTTCAGTAACATTTTTGATAGGAAGTTTATTCGTTTCTCTGTCTTCTCTGGTGGCTCATGTTGCTGTGTGTGATCACGCTGAGAGGAAGACAAAATCAAGACTAGCTCTGACTTGCTTATCCCGCGTAACCATAGGGGCTACGCAAAGCCGAGCACTAACGCTACCATACTAGTTCGTATGATCTAATGTAAAGGTGTCAAGGTGATAGGAGCTGGTACAAGGTCGAAGACGGCCGCTGAACATTTGCAAGCTCCGAATTGTGCGGTATTTTACGTGACCCGAGGAGATGCTGAATGTCTCATTGGAAAAGACAACTTGGCCGATAAAGGTTCTTTATCCACAACGCTATAGCAGTGAAAGTCTCCTAATATGGGCTTATGCAAGACGATGCAGCACCACTCAGTATGCTTTCACCAAGACATGAAAGGGAACGTTCATCGACGGCAGCTTTGAATGGATGACAGGGAAAGACAAAACTGTAGTCTGCTCTTCGTGCTTGCGAAGAATTGGCAGATACCGCACCCGTGAAACCAAGAACAATGAGTGCTGCACGCGGATCGGTCCAAAGATGTCAAGTTGACGCCAATTCCAATGGCTGTCCGAAATTGTTAAGAAGAGGTCAAACAACGCCAATTAGATAGCCGTTCAAAGAGTAGATAGAAGAGGTCAAAGCACTACACGACATGGCCGTAAAAGCAAATGCGCAGCAAACGGATGCTTACATTAAAATTTCCTTACGTATGCATTGTAGAGGGGGTGTACATCGCTACAATCCTTTTTGTGGCTTTCTTACTACCGAGCACTGACGGAAATGAAGCTTCGAACTTCTCCGTCAGTTCAATAGGAGTCAATTCGTCAGCTATTCACCTTCGGATCTGCAGCACTTCCATTCTTTCTGCCACTTCCTTCGACTTGGACGACCTTTTTCCATGCGAGATCATGAACGCCGTATTTGCCGGGCCAAAAAAGTCTTCTATGGTCCGAAACTTCTCAATGGCTTCCGAAGACGGATCATAGATCCTACCGTCTGCGAGTCTCGCTGTAGCGGGTGTGTTTACACTAAAAGTGAGACGTGCAATGTACGAGACCACCTGTTGTGTCAGAGATCTCCGGTTTCGTAGGGAAACCCGGCCATTGTTGCGAAGAGTTCGGTCAGCCATGGTGATGAAACATTCGAGCTCTTCGTACGATAGATCTTCCTCAATCTCATGGTACTTGCCTCCGTTAGCGTGACGGCCACCAAATTTGACCTTGACTCGCCTGACTCGATTAAAAAGCCTACCAAGGTAGCCTTTGCCGAGCAGACCTTTACCAGAAAACCGCCGATCTTCTTGTTCTCCGTCAACGGAAGATCCGGCCTTCTGCTGCCTTTCAGGAGTCGGATACTCGACTGCAGGAGCGTCTAGTGCCATGGCCTCTGCCTCGATGGTATCCGAGTCCAGATTAGCAGCAACGAGCAACACACCACTGATTCAGAAGACGATGAGGAAGAGAGGTTGCATGGTTTGATGGATCGAAGGTGTTCGAAAAGGTTGATGGGTGGGGGAGCGCAAAATGGAAAGTGAACTGACAGCTCGGTTGATCGGTGACCCGACAGAGAAAGTTAATGCTGCAGCAGCGTTCCACACCGTCAGACGGTGTCCAGACAACCAGACGATGTGTGCCTCCATTGGCGTCATCATGATCGAATCGATCTGTAACTCCAGACTAGGTAGAGGTTGTCAGTAGTGATTGCAGAAAGTCAGCTCGCAAATCTATGTGGCAATTGGTTTCGCGCACCTTTTGGTATGTAATCTATTTCATCTATCCGTTTGTTCTAAGTAGTTTCCGAGTATTTCACGCCACAGCACCAGTAGCTCGTCTTTGCCGTATTCACGATCATAGTCTCAACAAGACCGTGCTTTCTATCGATTAATTGTCTCCTGCAGTCGACCAGCATTCCCAGCACAATGTATTGCGCTGTTGTCGTGTCATTGACACTAGATGGCGTCCTATCGAATACAACGTGAATCAGACGTTTTTGAGCCTTCGTGACTTCCGTGAGATCCGGCAACCGACCGGCTGCTGGGGGTAAGGGAGCTGCATGAAGAAAACTGGTTACAAGCTACGATTACTCGGGTCATACTTCTCAGCATGATTGTCATGCTACCTACATTGTTCAGTGCGTTTAGTGCCGTCTAGGCTCTTCATAAACTACTGAAATAATACTCGAGATTGAATCGAATGCAAGACATCCCAGTTGAATAAGCGCCTATGGGGCGAGACTCCGAGCTGTGATTATGGTCAAGCACAAACCCAGTCGATTATGTTACATCAAGCCACAAAGAAACGCTGGCATGCGTCACCTAGACCATCACGTTGGCAAGTGAAAGACGTAACCTCGTAAACAGAAATGGTGACCGTTATCCACAACATAACGAGATCAAAAGGTATGGATGATCAAGATCATGATCAAGAGCAACCATTGAGGCGAGTGTAGTAAACGTATCACCCATTATCTATAGCCTCCCTTTTCATTTGTCTCGAGCAGTTTTCCGAATCGTGGTCAGACTCAGAGACAGGTGCCTACGTATGTGGTTGATTCACGTGCGGCATTCTGTACCTTCAGCTGGATGCATCAAAGCCATTTATTTCCCGTAAACAGAATGCGTACGGCAGACATTGCGAGCATAGAGTTCTGTAGTGGATGTCTAAGCGTGAGGGGGTGTCCAGATGTGAGGAGGTGTCCAAGCATGAACGATGCCACAAGCTACCTGCCAAATATAATAATCGGACTGGTCCGGCGGCTGAGCAATCAGTACACCGTTGGTAGCGGTATTGAAGTGAACAAGTTTACTGGGTCTGAATACTGATTTTAGATGTCTTCTGAATAAAGGCGATGTTACTCATACACCCACTTTTTGCTATCCACACACCCCATAACACCCCCTCACCTGGTATTTCATAAAGTGCCCATCGGCGATTGACTGGGATGGCTAAGGGGGGGTGCGGATAGCAAAAAGTGAGTGCGTTATAACCAGGACGTTAACGAATATGTTATGATCGATCTTCTTCGCATGACAACCAATTTAATCAAGCAAACGACCTGCTACGAAAAGTTTCTGTGTCCGCGCGCATCCACTGGCAAACGGGTCATATAGACGCGCTACGATGATCGCACACGACCGGCTAATTAGTTTGTCCTTTACTTATCTTTATGTGGCTCTAAGAAGACTTGATTACCGCCATTGAGTGCCGTACACGATGACTTAGACACAGCGGACTTGACAATGGCGTTTCCACCGCAAATTTCACCACATCCACACTCATCCATTTGGCATCGGTGCTGATTCGTGCAGAGTTACGTATAGACAAGTGTAGGTACATTCGGAGGGCAGAATTGTCTCGTATATTCTGCCGGCCAGTCGCGACGGAGGAGACCCAAAATCTTGTAATCAAAAGTCATGTACACATTAACATGGGTAAACGAAAGCTTCTTGCAATCTCGCTTCCGTCATACGTCGAGAAAACACAAATGTGGTGGATAGATGAATGACTGTCGAGGATACGACCCCACAACCGGGACACAGGCAAGTTGCAGATTTAGTGATCAGATCCTTGACTTACAGAAGAGGCTTACAAATACATTCTTCAGACAAGCTAGCTAGAGATAGTATGGATACTTTGCCAATAACGGGCTAAGCCGTCGTAACATAATAGCTTCATTCACTCGCGGTTGGCTGAAGTAAGAGAACTTCAGCCAATACGGCAGTACTGCCTCGTATCGTAGAAGTCCGCATAGACAAAGGCAAAGCCGCGCATGCGCGCGCAACCCAGAACTTCGGCTGACGTACGTCTAAATTTTTCCGTTACACAAGAGGGTACTTTTCGTGATCCACGCTGTGAGCTTATGGCGTCGTTCGCAGCCATTCGAATGGACACCTGTGGGAAAGTATCTCGATGTGAGAGACTTTTAGAGAAACTGTCAAGTTTCGAGTACCGGTATGCCAAGCATTTTTAGATTATTCACGCGCTGAAAACGTCTGATATTAAATCTGGCAGGCAATTTCACATTCAGACAAAGATCGTTCAACCTTCGCCGTTCCTACTCATCAGCGACATCTTAGGATTCAATAGACTGCAGATAGTACAAACCAAACACGGCGCCCATCACGTCGCAACGTGAATGTGCTGACCTGTCTGCACCACTTTAGTGGGCAGCAGCGACAGCATTCGACACGAGCGTAAAGTGCCTCGTAGCGCATGAGCTGCTCTTTTCCTCGTGTAGTATCAATTCAAATATCGTATTTCCGTATAAATGCAGTCGACTATCGAGTCTGCTGTGACGAGTCACGTGCCGTCCCGCATCAACCCCACGCCTAGAACTACATGCTAATGCTCAAGTCTCAGATAACTGACGTGTCGCCCATGCGGGCGTCTTAGAGCATGGTGGAAAGTCTGGTTCATTATTTGGTAGGAACGGACTGCATGAAACCGACTATCGATCAAATGTGGTCTCATGCCAAAGCGTGGGAAAAGAAATGGAGTGATGCGCGTCGCGAAGAGTTTCGGACGCCCAACAGACAGAGCTAAATTCAGTGAGCTGTCGCAACTTGACTGTAAACAATGTGGAGTGTCTCGGCATATCGGTGCTAAGACACGGCCATCCGATGCGGCACTTTCGATACGCTGTTGGAACAGAATGCTCACCGAAGGTAACTGTAATGCTGGATATGTAACGAACGTCAGACGGTGGCTCGCAACCAGCATCGAGTGTACATTTCGAACGTCTTCATGCTGGCAGCAATTTCATCACAACGGCGGGTAATATCCGCGGCTACTTTACCTGTACAACCAATCCAGCGCTCTTACACCCGCTTCTAAGGGCAGACGGTATCGAACTGGCCTTTGTTGTGACTGCGTGCAAGAAACAGCGGGTGCAACAGGCCATAGTCCCGCTCGCATAAGGTAAGGACAAATACTTTTTAACGTGGCAGGTACAGGTATTCCGGGGTGCAACTCAAACCTGGACAGGACGCGAGTGTCTCCACGTGTAGAACGAATGGAACGACAGCTCCCGAGAGCTCGTTAACTTTTGTGGAACGCTTCCTGGAAATTCAACAGGTCCATGGCTTTCACCAACGCGATCGGGCCTGGAAGGATGGAAGTAGCGGCACACTGCATAGTTCGTGATCCTGATTTCAACAACCATCAAGCTGGTCAATACCGGAAAAGTAAGAGTTAGGGATCTCTTCCATACCTCTCCCTCGAACATCCTTTGTGATGACAGTTAAAAGAGGAAGTCTTTTTGGTCCACGTACTCTTGGGCCGACTGACAGCCCGTAGATTGTGGCTCATGAGGAGAACACCTTAGATACAGAGGTTTAACATGATACGACCCCTCATCACCGCAAAACCTTCGCCTGCATCAAGTTGGGGTCCAGATATGCTTGTCATTCCAACGGTAGGAGCACTTGCGCCTCAATCAACCGAGCTTGTTTCTTGCAGACTCAAGGTCATGGGCGAGCCGGAATTCGGCATTGAAGGCAGACTCCAAGTCCGACGGAGTCTGCTACAGCGCCACCAGACGTAACCGATCAATGTTTGCTCCTGGAAATACATCGCAACGGGCCGCAGGAGAAGAGTAATCGGGAATGGGCCACGACCAGCAGAATGTCATCATCTGGGAGCCAAAGCGAAATGGCATTGATTCAAGGTTGCCTCGACTAACAGAAAGGATCAGCAGATAGCGGCTGAATATTAGACACTTCGACAGATCCAAGACGCAGGGGCGCCATGATCGCAACCCACGTGTACCCCTGGAGTTGTACGGGGCCTCAACAGAATACATGCTTCCTTCTGGCTGGAAAAGAACGACAAGTTGTTTGGTGTACAGATTCGGTATGTTTGCTGCTTAGAAACGTGGCAGAGGTCTGGCATGCAGCTCTAGACAATGCGTGATAGGACGCAGCGTTGCAATAGACGCCAGAATTATGTTGGCCTACACGGCAACAGGTCACGGCGTACCAAGTGTGTGGGGTATTCATAGGGTGGCACCGCATTGACTGATACACATCGAGAGTGAACGTAACGTTAGTTGCATAGTCACGGATCTGCTGTGTGTTGAGGAAGAGACACTGGCACACGTTCCGACAATTCCGTGTGCGTAGGTCTGGTGTTGGGCCGACACGAAATACGAGAAACATGTCTGCTGTTGTTTCAAAGCAAAATAGCCAGAGGAGTGTTACCTGAGATGACAAGTACCGCACGACCACTGTGCTGACACGAGGACGGGCGTTGCTAATCAGGCAGGTTGAGATATCCCTGAAATCCTGCAACCTACAGAGGTTAAGTAGACACGTCTGGCTTTCTCGCTTTAGTTGAACAGTTTTCGATTGTTTCTTACAATACAAATGATGTACTATTGTGCTGC